TAAGTATATATATGAAACTATAGAATTTTACATGAAGTAATGAAGTACAATTTTATTTTAAATAATATTTTCTATTCATATATCTAACTATTAAGTGAGCATCTTTTGGCATGTAAATAATAGTTATTGTAGAGAAAACGTACATTAAAACTAACTTTGTTCCTAATTGTTCCTGTTTAACGTTTAAAAACAATACTATAACTTTTTTCAAAATTAAAAAATATATATATATATTTTTTCGGATATCGGATATCCGAAATATCCGAAAGCTTTAAAATGACTATCCGTATCCGAATCCGAAAAACCGGATATCCGAATTTCGGATATCCGAAAATCCGGATATCCGAAATTTCGGATAAATTCGCATCGGATTTTCGGATTTCTCGGATCGGGTTTTCGGATACGGATATTTTTGAACACCCCTACCTGATGTGGTTACGGGTATGTATCTTCTCCATTATCTCTTTATTATTTCTGATTATTACTCATATTTGTGTGTTTGTGTATAGGATCGTTCTTAATGAACGACATATCAGCTATGGTATTGTTTGACTCGGAGGCTACCCGATCTTTTGTGTCGCTCGCACTTAGCAAGCGATTTAGTAGATCTCCGGGGGAGCTAGATTGCCCACTTGATGTAGAGATAGTCGATGATAGGACCGTCAGGGTTGCGAGGGTTCATAGAGGATGTATGCTATGGTTATTCAATCAGCCTTTTTCAGTGGATCTGGTTCCTATTACCCTGCGTAGGAATAAGGTAATATTGGGTATGGATTGGTTGAGCTCCAATTGGGCAGTGATTGATTGTGAGCAACAGCTAGTGAGGGTTCGTACTCCTAGTGGGGAAGAGCTGGTGATTTAGGGCGAGAGGCCACAGCGCAGACCGATCTTATGTTCAGCAGCGAGGGCGAGGCGTCACCTCCAGCAGGGTTGCGCAGGGTACGTCGCCTATGTCATGGATACCCGGGATAAGGGTAAGGCGACCGTTGATGATGTACCGGTAGTGCGAGAGTACCCGGACGTATTTCCGGAGGATTTACCTGGAGTACCTCCGGAGAGACAGGTTGAGTTTAGGATTGACCTGGTCCCTGGTGCGGCTCCGATAGCCAAGGCACCATATCAGTTGGCTCCTCACGAGATGCAGGAGTTGTCTACGCAGCTGCAGGAGCTGCTAGACAAGGGTTTCATCAGGCCGAGCAGTTCACCATGGGGAGCCCCGATCCTGTTTGTGAAGAAGAAGGACGGGTCACATCGCATGTGTATCGATTACCAGGAGCTAAACAAGGTAACAGTGAAGAACCGTTACCCACTTCCGAGGATAGATGATTTGTTTGATCAGCTTCAGGGAGCATCTTGGTTCTCTAAGATTGATCTACGGTCAGGTTATCACCAGATGCGAGTCAGGGCTGATGATGTGCAGAAGACAGCTTTTAGGACTCGCTATGGTCATTATGAGTTTGTGGTGATGCCGTTTGGGCTCACCAATTCTCCAGCCGTGTTCATGGACCTCATGAACCGCGTGTGCATACCGATGTTGGATCGTTCTGTAATAGTCTTCATTGATGACATCTTGGTTTACTCCAAGACTCAGGAGCAGCATGAGGAGCACCTGAGGGAGGTGCTGGAGACACTGAGGAGGGAGAGACTCTATGCGAAGTTCTCCAAGTGTGAGTTCTGGTTGCGCGAGGTGCAGTTCGTTGGGCATCTTGTCAACCAGAAGGGTATTCTGGTCGATCCGGCCAAGATAGAGGCCATGATGCAGTGGGAGATTCCGAGGTCACCAACTGAGATTCGGAGTTTCCTGGGTCTGGCAAGGTATTACAGGAGATTTATTCAGGACTTCTCCAAGATTGCAGTTCCGTTGACCCGACTGACCAAGAAGTCGGTAGTTTTTCGCTGGGGACCTGAGCAGCAGGCACCCTTTGAGACGCTCAGGCAGCGATTGTGCGAGGCACCGATTCTCACTCTTCCAGAGGGTGTAGATGACTTCGTAGTTTACTGTGATGCTTTGATCACAGGCATGGGAGCAGTGTTGATGCATCGGGGTCATGTGATAGCTTATGCCTCGAGACAGTTGAAGCCTCACGAGGCTAACTATCCGACGCACGATTTAGAGCTGGGGGCAGTGCTATTCGCCCTCAAGATTTGGCGGCATTACCTCTATGGGGTCCGGTGTCCCATTTACACGAATCACAAGAGTTTGAGGTACCTCATGGATCAGCCGAATCTGAACATGAGGCAGCGTTGGTGGTTAGATGTGGTGAAGGACTATGATTGTGAGATCATTTACCACCCGGGCAAGGCCGACGTAGTGGCCGATGCCCTGAGCCGCAAATCTCATAGTAGTTAGAGTGGGCGGGGCCCAAATCTCATAATAGTTAGAGTGGGCGGGGCCCGATGCTTATAGCATTATTTGAGTATAGAAATGTGATTGATTGGTAGGTGTACTTGTTGTAGGTGTGATACTTGTATGCATGTTAGTAGCGGAGCGTGGGCGGGGCCCGAATCTCCTAGACAGCGGAGTGTGGGCGGGGCCCGAATCTCCTAGACAGCGGAGTGTGGGTGGGGCCCAAATCTCTTAGATAGCGGAGTGTGGGCGGGGCCCGAATCTCCTAGCCAGCGGAGTGTGGGCGGGGCCCGAGTCTCCTAGACAGCGGAGTGTGGGCGGGGCCCGAATCTCCATGAGAGTGGGCGGGGCCCGTATCTCCTAGTTGCTTGATATTTGTATGGAATGTGGTAGTTTGGGGAACTCACTAAGCTTTGTGCTTACAGTTTTCAGTTTTGGTTACAGGTACTTCCACTAGCAAGGGGAAGGGCTCGGGATGATCGCATGGCACACACCACAGTTTCAGCCTGGTATTGTTTTAGACTCTGATGATTACTTATATGATTTGATACAGTATTTGACATGATGTTTTTTAGATACATGGTTCTTGTTTTATTATGATGATGGATGTTTATGGTTTAAATAATGATTTTAAAACGAAATTTTTGGACCGTATTTTTGGGATGTTTCATTGGATTTTGACTTTTAAGCCTCTTAAGGCCTTGCATGCACGTAAAGTTGGCAACTTTACATGGTAACTCCACTCTAGGAAGTTAGATCTGCAATATGGAGCTTTGGGGTGGCTTAAAAACGTTTGGATGAGAAATGGACTGAAGGGACTCGACGAGTCGGATGAAGATTACCTATATTGATTTTGCATGAACTCGGCGAGTCAGTAAGAGGACTCGATGAGTCGGTTAGGGTTTTCCCCGACAATTGGACACGCATGGACTCGGCGAGTTGGTTGGAAACTCGGCGCGTCAATTAGGGTTTTTATTATTTCCTGAGTTCTTAAGAAACTCGACGAGTTGCTAGCTGCACTCAACGAGTTGGGTCACACGGACTGTTGACTTAGACCGTTGACTTTGACTTTAACCAAGGGTTGACCAGTTGGACTTTTGAGGGTATTTTGGTAATTTAGGATTTTGATGGACTTGGTCCATGGTGGTTATAGGTGGTTGATTTCGTTACGGTGATTCGGGAGCTTGATTCTTTCAGTTCAGTTCGACATTGTGAGGTGAGTTATCCTCACTATACTCAAGGGTCTAAGGCACCAAGGTCGGCCCTTTTGATTGTTATCCGGATTTGTTGCTGTTGTGATATGATTAGATCGATATCCTGGTAGATAGGATGGTTATATGTTGCTATGATATGTTATATCGGTGTCCTGGTAGATAGGATGGTTATATGTTGTTATGATCTGTTAGATCGGTATCCTGGTAGATAGGATGATGCTATGTCTAGTGATCTGTAGTTCGGCTTGAATGGCGGTATATGGCTAGGTGATTACATGTTATATGTGCACATGCTTGATTAGTAGTGAGGGTATTCCATCCCAAGGATGATTGGACCCTAGTATGTTGTCTCTGTAGACTGTAATATGATTATCTGATATATGTGCACATGTTTCATAGTATGTGGGCATTCCAACCCGATGGTTGTAGGCCGAGAGTATTCTATCCCGAGGATGATTGGACTCATAGTATGTGGGCATTCCAACTCGATGGTTGTGGGCCGAGAGCATTCCATCCTGAGGATGATTGGGCTCGTAGTATATTGGCATTCCAACCCGATGGTTGAGGGCTTGGGGTATTCCAACCCGATGGTTGATTGGACTCATAGTATGTTGGCATTCCAACCTGATGGTTGATTAGACCCATAGTATGTTGTTTAATATTGTATATATATTGTGTGTATGGGTATTTTGGGGGTAACTCACTAAGCCTTTGAGCTTACATTTATCGATTATTGTTTCAGGTACTTCGGATGACCGCGGGAAGGCGAAGGCGTGACCGTACACTTCCTCAATTTATGATTGTGATTTCTGGGAAAACTCTGATGTCTAAACTATTTTGAGAACTAATGACGCTCCCCTCAGAGCGGGCCAGAAACAAGTGAGTCGCGGCAGAGCGCCTCTAGCGAAGGAGTTGACCCAGCGACCTGGGTAGCTCCAAGCCCCCACGCAGCGATCGCGTAGAAAGCTCGCCCTCGCCAAGAATTGTCTTTTAGCTACAGTCCAAAGACAACGGCTTCAGGTGACAAAGCGTCCAGACAGAGCACAATCGCCTGAACCAATTGGAGGCCGGGACACGAACGTGGAGCAGAGCCTCCAATGAACACGACAGATCCTGTCGGGACCACAGTCCCTGTCCCCGTACGGACCGAGGAGGATCCTCACTATAAAAGGACTAACACTCGGTTCAGCCGAGGTAAGTGAACACAACTCCAGTCACATATTACCATATTCTCTCATACTCTCTAGACTAACTTGACCGTCGGAGCGTCTTTCCGGGAGCTCCTCCCGGACGACGGCTGACATCCTTTTCTCTTGTGTGACCTCTCAGGTTCCGCCGTGAAGGAGCTCTTCCACATAGCTGGTGGTTCGGGACCTGGTCGCATCAATTGGCACCATCCGTTTGTGTGACATCAGATACGCAAACCCTTTCCCATTTTACTACCTTCCACAACCACGCATGGCGGAGAAAGCGACGGGCGAGCCGTAGGAACAACCGCACAGCCCCATACGCCCGATGGGACCTTTGGGGATGGAAGACACTCCGGCAGCCCTATTTCCTGGCAACCAAACACCAATCTCCGGTGCACCGCCATTAATCGGAAATCCAAGGCCAAATCTCAATGCAACACCAGCTCCAAGTGGTCCGCTGCCGTAAGCTCCGGTGACTGTACCACCAGACTCGCTATTAAACCCCATCACCACGGCTGTGCAAACCGCCTCGCCTCAATCCCGACCAATACCAACCATTACACACTTAACCCCACCCCAGAACCGACCAATATACACCACACTACCTCTTCTCCCCGCTATTGTCAATCCCCATAATACCCAAACGACAACTGTCACACCCCTCGCAAGCAGTGGACATCTCAACGGGACTATGATCGGCGCAGGCATCGCATCACATCCACATAGCCACCAGTTGTCGATGGCAGGTGCCATACCAAGTCCGCCACTCTTGTTCTACCAACAGCCAACCATAGCCCACCAACAGACCCCCCCTCCCCCGGCTCAGCAACTAACACCTACGCCGTACACCCCCTATTATGTCCCAACCGTTCAACCCACACCATACAATTCCCCTGCTATAACCCAACCGTTCAACCCTTACGACATACCAATACCAGATCTAACCGCCTACAACAACATGCTGGTACAACCATTTCTGACGGCACAACAACCAGGGTGCTACCTTAGCCAACATATCCCAACCCAATACTGCTCATCACGAAGTGTCACGTCACCGTTTGTCAAAGAACTCCTGGAGTACGAAATCCCTAACACCGCTAAATTACCTCACCTTAAGACATACAACGGAACTACTGACCCGGACAGCCATATCGACACGTATGAATGGATGATGACGTATCTGAAACTAGATGAGCGATTATGGTGCACATATTTTCCCACTACCTTGGACGGTAACCCAGGAACATGGTTCAAAACGTTGAAACCGGGCAGCATCAGCAATTTCAACCAGTTGAAATACCTATTCCTAACAAACTTCATGCAACTTCAGAAATACAAAGGTGACTGCCACACAATCATTGGGTGCAAACAACGAGAAGGGGAGACACTTAAAGATTACTTCGCTAGGTTCACAAAGGCAACACTAGATGTTCCAGGGCACGACGAAGGCCTAATCGCAGGGGCATTCACCTGGGGCCTGTTACCAGGATCGTTGTCCCAAAAACTCATGGGCAAGCAACCCAAGACAAGGGTTGAGTTGAAAGAAATAGTGGAGCGCTTCTTACGCCAGGAGGAAGGTGAAGCATCGAAGCAGGCGTACCTCAATGCCATGACAGCCTCCACGGGGAGGTGGAATAACTACAACACAACCCACCCCGGTTTTCGGGGAAACAATAGGTTTACGGGACGAGACAGACGACCGACAGGACGCTTCAGACCCTTCACTAGAGACGATAGGCGAGGGAGACAGACAGAAGTCTACGCAGTCGACAAAAAGCCAGCAGCGAAAGGTACTAAAACACGATACTGCAAGTACCATAAGAGTAGGACACACGATACGATCAACTGTGCGGTCTTAAAACGGGAAATCGAAGAGAAACAGTTAAAATGCAACGTAATAGAGATCGCCAAAAGCTTGAGAGCTAAGTTCGACGCAGATAACCCCAAAGACGCTGCCAGGAAACCAGAACCCAAGTTGGAGATATTGGCAATCCACCACAAAAGGGGGAGAGTGGAGCACGGGGAACAAACGCACGGCGTCCCAGAAATGGCACAAGGATTAACATTCTCCAGGAACGACCCAATCCCAGCTGGGTGGAACGGGGACAACCCCCTCGTCATTCAAGGGTCTATCCGGAACGTGATAGTTCACCGGGTATACATCGACACCGGGAGCTCGGCAGACATCATTTACGAACACTGTTTCCAACGCCTGCCGAGCGAGTGGAAAGAAGGACTGAAGCCCGCCACAGGCCAACTCACAGGGTTCACGGGGCACAGCCTATGGCCATTAGGTACGATCCATTTACCATTCACACTAGTCAGCCAGGACAAAACTAGGAAGCGAACCGCCCTGGTAGACTTTGTAGTTGTACGACACCCGTCGGAACACAACATCATACTGGGGAGACCGGTCCTATTAAGATTTGGAGCAGTCCCATCAACAGTCCATGGGGTGGTTAAGTTTAGCACCAGTCAAGGACCAGGAACGATCTTGGCCACACCCCTGAAGGACCTTAATGTTACGAGATTATGCAACCAAGAGACATCTCAACCGAAGCCAAAAGACCAAAGCCAGACCTGTCAGACGGAGGGGAAGTGATCAACAGGGAGCATCCAAACCAATGAGTGATGGTAGGAGTGGCCATACCCCCAAAAAGAGATTGGTAGCGAAGTCTCTAAGGATGTGGGCGGCAGTCTCTAAGGCATACCCCCAAAAAGAGATTGGTAGCGAAGCTCGACTCATCATAGAGCGAACCATGTCCAACAAAGTTCGATTGCGCCTCTCAGCTACACCATTCAGTTGTGGTGTCCTGGGAGGTGTCAATTGTGAGACAATCCCACACTCCTTAAGATAGTCGAGGAACTCAGTACTAAGATACTCACCACCTCGATCGGATCGAAGCATCTTAATGTTCCTGCCCAATTGATTTTCTACTTCCTGTTTAAACTCTTTAAACCTTTCAAAAGTTTCTGACTTATGTTTGATTAAGTAGACATAACCATATCTACTAAAATCATCAATAAAAGTCACATAATAGCGATTAGCATCCCTTGTGGCGGTTTTGAATGGTCCACATACATCAGTATGTATAAGGTCCAACAAACCCTCACCCCTTGCACAAGTACCAGTGAAGGGTGATTTTGTCATTTTTCCAAGTAGACAAGACTCACAACTATCATCCGACTTGAGGACGAACGACTCCAAGACTCCATCCTTTTGGAGCTGGCCTATGCGTTTCTTGCTTACATTTCCAAGACGACAATTCCACAAAGATGCTTTATCCAAGCTAGTAGAAGAATCAATACATAATACATTATTTCCTAAATTATCTACAACCGATACAGCTTCATACACACCATCACAAGGTAATGCTTTAAAATAAAGAACATTATTAAAGAAAGCATTAATACTACCAACTTCATTATCAAAAGAAAAGGTAAAACCTTGTTTGTACAAAGCATGAAAGGAAATAATATTCCTCGCCATTTCAGACGAGTACACACATTTATTCAAATCTAACTTTAACCCACTATCTAGCAACAAAGTATAAACTCCAATCTTGGTAATAGGTGCAACCTTCTTGTTCCCCATGATTAAGTTTATCTTTCCGTGCTCCACATCCTCACTTCTTCTTAGGCCCTGCAAGTCACAACAGATGTGAATACCACAACCTGTATCAAGAACCCAAGAATTAGAATATGGTGAGTTATTAGACAATATAGTGTAAATACCTGCATGGGATGGTTTCACTTTTCCATCCTTGACATCCTGCAAGTACTTTGGGCAGTTTTGCTTCCAGTGCCCCTTATTTTGACAGTAGAAGCATTCAGCATCCTTAGGGATGGCAGAAGGAGTGATAGAACCACCTTTGGTTCCAGATGAGGAGCCTTCAAGGGACTTTCCCTTGGTACCCTTCGAAGGGTGCTTCCTCTTCTTCCCTTTGCCTTGCCCAATAGCCAAAACAGGGGTAGTAGTAGGAGTAGGAGTAGCAACCGACTTACTCTTAAGACCACTTTCGGCACTCTTCAGAAGTCCTTGAAGCTTACTGAGTGTGACTTCCTCCTTGTTCATGTGGTATGTCATACGAAATTGATCATAACACGATGGCAAGGAGTGCAAAATGATATCAATTGCCAACTCCTCAGGGAAGTTCACATTCAGTTTCATTAGACGGTCCACATACCTTTGCATTTTCTGCATGTGGCTCGTGATTGGTTCGCTATCCTTCATACGGGTAGTGATCATGGAGGAGATTATTTCATACCGCTCTTGACGAGCACTCTGATGGTACCTTTCCATCAGATTCTGATGCATCTCAAAAGGGTAATAGTCCTCATAGGACTTTTGGAGTTCAGCTGTCATGGTGGCCATCATGATGCATGCCACCTTGGTGGCATCTCTTTCATGTGCCTGATACTCAGCGACCTCCTCAGGAGTAGCAGTGGACTCATCAAGCTCCTTTAGCTCCTTATCGATGACATATTCCTCGTCCTCGTAACGAGTAACCATCCTGATGTTCCGGATCCAATCCATGAAGTTGGAACCATCAAAGATGACCCTCCCACAAAGGTTCATGAGGGAAAAGGAGCCAGTAGGGTTAGAGCCCGAAGCTTTGTTGTTGGAAGACATCTGAAAAGAAGAAAACAAGTTTAGATTAGATATATCGAATCCTTAATAATACACCCAAATGTAATATTAAGGCTAGGATCCAACACAATATATTATAACTTAGAAGAGGGATGCCGTAATCTAAGCTATAATATATTGAAGGTAGGTGAATGACGATTCACCAATTTCCACCATGAAACGAAATGAATTATTAGGTTTAATTGGTTTTTTGAAATTCCTAGATTCTTTTGAGATTCATTGAACTTTTCAATGGCATGTTTCAATCTCGATTGTGCCCTTCACGTTTTGTGACTGGGATGCCGAGGATCACAAAACAAGGTGTGAATAACCATGCAAATTCACTTGGTACCCTTAATATTATCACCTAATCAATGTGCCGGTTAACCACACACGCTCCACCGATCTATGATAAACATTAAGTCACCCTTCGTGATCCTTACTAGTCCAAGTTAGTGTGCCGGTTAACTACACACGCTCCACCAACGACTTGGTAAGGTACAAAGTGTGAATTTCATGGGTTAGCACCATATTCACATTTTCCTAAAGTAACTAAGATTGGGAATTTATAAAAGGTTTAGTTACTTTATAATATTCATCATACTTTTAATGAGAATTTATAAGTCTTTGTCCTACCCGTTCGGCTAACGACCCTCCACCAGTCAAGCAAGCGGTGGGTGAGAGTGGACACCCATTAAGTTGTCATTTTATAGGCAACAACCTTATACCTACCTTATAGACTGGCTTCGTGAATGAGGCGTACTAGCGGTAAGACGACTTTGATCTTATACATATATATAATAATTAACCATTAATGTTATAAATAGTATAAGAGTTGAATTTTAACTTTTAAAACTCTAAGGGTTTGGAATTAAAGTATATTAAAGTGTGTGTAACTTTACAAATTCCAAAACTTGAGGACAAGTTTTGAAACTATTCAAAACTTTTCATTTCATAACTTATGAATTAAAGGTTCATAAAAATGAAGACTCTTCATTTCCATGTAACTTATGTGTTTTAAGTGTGTGTTTAAAAGAAGTGACCTTTGGATATCTATAACTTGAGGACAAATTATGGACTCCATTAAAACACATAAATGATCAAGAATTAATCCTAAACAATT